AAAAAAAAAAACTTCTTTCTGACTGGGGAGATGGTTAGGGGTGGGTTTAAGCAATGACACCGCGCTCCGGAGACAGGGTAGTGGGATCTCATAGTAATTTAGTTATGCTCATTCAAATCGGGGACGAGCCGAGGGGAGAGAGGTGGCTGTTGGGCTGGCTGGAAGTCAGCATCGCGAATTAAGCACTCACACACTTGCACGTCGCTCGCTGGTGGCCGGAATCTGCACACAGATCAATGCGAGTGCTGTAGAAACTCTTAGCCAAAGCATTACACCAGTGAAGATAACTCATGAAATACACCGAAGTCCTTTTTGCATTTCTTTAATACGACATACTGGATCTTCTACTTTCGTCGTTGTTGTTGTTGTTTTTGTCCCAAAAAGGATATACTGTTCGGAGAGCGGCAGGACAGCGGGCGGAAAGTAATTCTTAATATAATGGCTTTGCGCGTTGCTTGTGCGGAGTCGGTGTGGTGGTGATGCTACTGCTGTCTCTGCGGGAGAAATTGACTCGGTCTGGAGCGGAGTTTGCAAAGTTGTGCGGTGCGGGGTTCGTCGTCTTGAAATCTCATTCGAGCGCTGCCTGTCCCCACACCCGTGCTCCTGCCTGCTGAATCTGGATATTTCTTATTTCCGTGGACGTCGGCTTGGATAACACGACGCACATCTGGGTGGAATTGACAGTGCGTTAAGAAGAGCTAAGGCGAGCACTAACCGGGAGAGCGCGATGGTGTTCCATCTCGCGTGGGATGCCCTGCTGCTCTCGTATGCGCTGGTCGGCATGGCTTTAGGTAGGTTGGTAACGGTGAATGGTCCGTACAATATGGGTACTGTAAAACACAGTACTGCGGATGAGTGAGATTGAGCAAACATGCGCGAACAGGTATTAATGTAATCTCAGTAGGCATGGGGGTAATGTTGGAATTCAGATCAATATAGCTGTAAATGTATAGAATCATTACACATTTACCGTACAGTGTACCTCTGGTGGATGCATTTACAACGACTGCATACGCAACCTGACAACAAGAATGAATAAGGACCAGTCCCTTAACAAAAAAACGCCCTATATAAGACCAATAGGTTTTTAAACAGACCTGAGGCATTTCTATAGAAGCCTTGAGGTTATTTTCGTGAGGATAATAAACTGAGTTGTGGGCAGTATAGGCTTTGGGCGTAAGAGCTGTGTGGTAAGACAATCATCTTAAAAACGTCTCAATGGTTAGGAAAATGTAGAAGACTGAACGGGGAAACATTTCACACAGATCTTTCAGATTGTGTAAGATAATAATTAAGCGAGCAAGGGCTGTCAGATTTGATGATCTTTTTACTCCCACTGAACTTTTCCGCTTGTCACATTGTACTGTGCTACCGGAACAAAAGTTACTATAGTGACACATTTATTTTAGATAAAGAAATGGATTTATCTCCGCGTAAGTGTTTAAGGGTTATTCTAAATGCTTAAAAATGTATCTAGTTCTCTTTAAATATTTATGTAATGTGCACAAAATATTTGTAATGTAGATTATTGTTATTGTATTCAATATTTCGACTATCGTAACTCGCACAAGCTCCAGCTGGACATCATTGTAAGGTAGTGGTATAATCCTTCGCTGCTAGTTTTAGCGCACTTAACTCCTTTCCCCTCTACTGAATCTGATTTAACATTATTTAGATTTAAGCACACTCAGATGCATAGAAGTGAATTTGTTTTTGCATTGTTATCGATACCATAGTGTGCACTTAAACAAGAAATAAGATTTTAAATGTTAGTATATGACATCAAAGCACAAAACTATTCTATTTGTATGCCTATTTGTCCCATCTTCTGTTGATTGTCCGTAAGACTATCTTCTAGTCATTCTGAGTGTGTATTGGCAGTCTTAAAGATATCTCCTTTTTAGGTTTAAAAATGTAAAATTTATACTTCATTTGTTTTGTGCTTATTTAAACCATTGACAAAGGAAAAAAAACCCCACTAAACTTTAAAATTCTTCTCAGATCACAGATTGCTCCCATATGGTAATTAATGAAATAGACAGTATATTGGTATGCATCGCACTTCCTTAGGTTTCAGTTTAAATGTGTTTCAGATGTCTCCACTGTTGGCAAAGCACTTCTATATGAACATCGCCAAAGGCAAAGGATCAAGAAACTTATAAGTTGCCCAAAATGAGGCTTTTGTAGTTTTCCAAGCAGTACTGTAAGGGTTTTCTTTGCTTTTGATTTGATGGATATTGGTAATGCTCGGTTAGACTGTCATTATTTTTTTTTACTTGCCTGACTATTAATAGAGGCATGTTGCTCTGTCAGTTCATTTTTACATTTAGCTCTCCAATAAAGTAAATAGACTGTGTGAAATTTGTAGGTCTGACTCGTATGGGACTATGTCTCAAAGAGCATCTGGGCAAGCGGTATGTTGTGTATGGGCAACGCAGTGTCTTCAAACTGCAAATAAATATCCTAGGACTGAGCCATGACAACTGTTCTCAGCCGCAGTGACTCTTCATTGTTCTGGAAGTTGAAAGGGAGACAAGATTCCAAGCCTGTGAATGCTGGTGTCAAATGATTAGTAAGAGGATGGTTAAGGATAACAGTTGGTTTTGACCTCTGCTTGGAAAGGTTGTTCCCTGACATAGGGTGCGGTATCTTTAGCTCTTGCACTGTTCAGGAGAGCGGAATTCCCTTTATGAGGATGGGGGTTGTATTTTTGGGGTCATCCATGGTGTGGGAGCAGAAATGTTTTTGTTTTCCCAGGTGATATTTGTGACTTTGAAGGAACTGCTGTGGTGTGCCTTATACAAAAAAAAAAACCCCACCAGCTTTGAAACGCTGTCTGTAAACAGGTGTGCTGCGCAGAAGTACTGATTCTCTCAGAATGTGAAGCGACTTCAAAGATGGCTGTGTGTATAAACTGCACCAAGATTGCCATAAATAAGCACATAGACAGTGAGGGCAAAGATGCAATGTCTTTTCTCCCTCAAAACACCACCCTCCCACAGCTCATCATAGGATATGTAGGAACACTGCTAGCTTTCCCGTGTTTTCAAATAAAGTCAAGCCTAAATCCTTTGATAAGTATACAAAGAGTGAATTTTTATTTTATTCAAAAAATCATCTGTTTAGAATTCTGACATTCATCTTAATTAACAGCCTCCAAACAGACTTGGAGGGTCTTTTCAGTCTGCTTGTACTTGTAACATTCCATATGTAGGAATCAGCCTAAGCCTAAATCACCCCCATCACCACCCATCCCACATACACACAGCGCGGTCTTTGGGAATTTGTGCCCGCAGTATTTGGAGCATGTTGTGATTTTGCATTTACTCAAGCCATTAATGATTGCCTTAACCATTCACATGTTTGGCAGGGATTATTGAGATTTTGCAGTTTTGAAGAGTGGAAGGGCTGGTAATGGTACCATTCTGCAATGGCTCTGCCTCTGTTTTATAGGGCAGTAAACATTGTAATCCACTGGCTCACAACATCTGGGGAAATAATCCTTCAGTGGGTCCAGATGCTCAAATAAGATAAATTCCACACAGATTGTGCTGCTTGCTTCCAGCTCTCTAGATGTATTAGAATTTTTTTTAACCATTAGATCTTCACAATAATAATAGTGATGATAATTCTGCAATGTGCTTGTGGACTTGAAGTACTGTACTAGAAATAAGAAATGGGTGCATTAACTTAAAGTTATGTTTTCACAAAGGCTACAGCAATAGACTAAATGAAGTGGAACTTGGTGGGGTGGGGGGGATTTAGGATGATTACTGAAAAAAACATACTTTACTGTTATATACAGAAACAAAATACTTTCTCCAGGCCTTTTCACATCACAAAGAAAAATGTACCTAATGCAATGTGGTATATAGAAGTATTATTTTCAGTCCTTCAGTTTGCTACAGATTGGATTTCATTGTGGTTTCCCAATTATTTTGCTTATGTGTTTTTTTTTTCTTGGATATTTTTCATCTTGTTAAACTTTGAACATTTCTATAGCTTCTAATGACTCTTCCCTGCAGACATTCAAAAAGAAATGCATTTTAATGTTGCTTTCCTCTCTTCAAACATAACTTCCCCCCCCCATCTTATAGTCTTAATGCTTATTGGAAACACTTCCAGTTGCAGGTATAGTGGGCCCTTCTGTTTGTTTAGCATTAAAATATGTTGATCGAGGAGTGCAAGAGATGCAGCTCCCTTTTGTAAGGTGTGAGATGATAACAGGAAGAGAGCACAGTTCACCCAGGTCCCTGAAGCAACAGTCCCAAGATCCTGCCAGGGATTTTTAGTTGCTGCAGTTGTTTTTATTGCCAGTCCTCACTTGATAAGAGACTTGTGAGCTTTTTGGAGTAAATGTGGTTTGACTGTTACCTTTACGAAGGGAGAATGAAAGACTACCAAACCGTGCATTAAAATATGCAATTCTGAAGCTTCCCAGACAATAAAGAAATGCAGACAAACTAATCAGCATTTTTCATTTTGATGTTACTTTTTAGAACTGTAGCTTTCCTGACTTTTAGTATGCAAGCTCATTCATATTGCTGGAAAAACCATTAAGAAATTATAATTAGAACTTGTTACTTGCCTGCTGCGATTTCCTGTCTGTCTGTGGGACTTTTCCCAGACTTTTACTGTATAATATCTTTGAGGAAGGGATTGCACAAGTGTCTTCCTACTCTGTGCTTGACCTAGAGAGGCGGATGTTGGAGTTTTTGTGAAGTGACATTAAGATACAGTTGTTGCAAAACAGACATCAAAATGATCTTTGATGCACTTGAAACATTGCCTTTCCCAAGACTAATGACCGCTGGCTGGAGATGGAGTGGGGCCTCCCTTAATTAAAGGGTTTCTGCTTCCTCTTGAGAACAGTCCTGCAGATATGTAAAATAAGATAAATGGAGGAATCGCATACAAATACAACACTGCCAGCAGCATAAAAGAAATTATACACAAATGCACAGTGATGTAACCAATGTTACACTTTGGTGTTACACTAAAAGAGTGATACTGTACTGCTTTGAACAGATTTGTTTTTTCTGCAAGGAAGTGATACTGCGAAAACTCTGTCGTGTCTGTGTCGAGACAGTAACCTCAGAGGACTTTGGTTATTACAGACAAGGCCTTTCCCAGTGGTGTTTGCGCAACGCTCTGTAATTACTGTTTGTGGGCATGTCATTACCTTGAAAGAACAATCTTTAAATATGGCTGGTAAATGTATCATACAGATGAGTCTCCTAAATCCTAAGACCACGTTACTTCTTTCAGCTGCTGTGTAAACAAGTGGACCTTTAAGTGGTAGTCAATAAACCAGGGAACAAACATAACTCTTCTGCTTGAGGGGCCTCTCTTTCCTTATCAAACCTGCTTCAGTGTCAGCTATACACTGGGGAACATGTCAGTAAAATCATTTGTCTCATCAATACATTGCATTAGTAATTAACTTTTGTATTTATATGTCCAGATATACAGGTTGAGTAAATGTATATTTGTGTACTTAAAATGTTAAGCACTTCAGTTTATAAAGCTTAACTTGTATCTCTCAGCATACTGTAGGCCTTAAAGGAAATTTGCCTACATTCCACATAATGCTGGCCATTGTGAAGGTTGTTTTATTTTATTGTAAAGTATTTGCTTTGGAAATCTTTCTAGTTCAAAAATAGATTAGAGGTTGCACTCTCTATAGTTTCTCTTAAGAGAAGTAAAAGTGTATTATTTGTTTTAGTTTTGACATTATTTATATACTTAGTTTATGTCGAAAACAAAAGAATCCCATTTTTCTTGTTTTGGA